TTCTCATTGTACAAAGTTTGTTGTAGACACTTTCGCTGATAAAATTGGGCCAAAGAATATATCTTCCAAGTGAAGTAAAAATGTTTTTGAACTAGTTAATTTGTGTGAAAATTCCATGCCGTCTCGGTACTAGTTAAACGGTACAAAGTAATTCATACGAAAGTTTTACTGTTTCAGCAGACGGTTTTATTTCTTGTCGTATTAAAGAATGCTCATGATCGGCGTTGCCTTGCATGAAATATAGGCCAACAAAAAATTGAAGTTTCTTCTCGTCTCAATTCTCGTGGACTAATCGAAGTGTCAAATAGCGCGCGTCTCGCGCTCAGCTACATGCCACTGAATTGTTTGTGTGTCTTTATTGCCGTACTTTGAAAAACTAACTTTGGCGGAAACCGAAATTAAGAAAGTTATGACCTTGATTTTAGACCAAACAAAACACTTTACAAACAAGAAAGAGAAAACTGAAAACCCGGAAGAAAACAATAAAGAACAAAAAAGTGAAAAGTTGGAACTTGGAAGTGGTACACAGTTTATGTGTGTGTGTGTGTGTTTTAACTCTCCTTCATGTTGGCTTTGATTCTGTTTTATGAATGAATATTCCCATTTCACAAGTTACGCTAAACAACAAACTTTCACGCAAATTTTCCCCAAAAATCAACGAAAGAGAGACAGAGAGAGAGTGAGAAGAGAAAAAAACACCGAAAACTTTTCCACAATTTCATTTTCTTTTCCAATGGTTTGTTGAGTTGACGCGCGCAGTCTTTGTTGTTACACTTTAATTTTCGAAAGTGAAGTTTTTGCTCGTTAATAGCTTTAATTTTTAATCAACATACAAGTCTGCGCGTCTGATATACCATGTACACACACACACAAGTTGAAGAGAAAAGAAAAATCGATGTATAGGTAAGCGTTGAAGGGCATCGACTTCGTCAGGATTTGACAATGCAGCCAGTAAACTAATTAGAAGTTATGATGTTAAATTCAACTTTTTGTTGTGGCGGAACCAAATCAAGATGACTTATCGATTTGCGAACGAAGCGACGCGGATTTCTTTTGAAAAGCAATTAAAAATGTCGACAAAGGCGAACGAACTCGCAACAATTGTCATTTAGAACTTTTTGTTGAGAATGATTTGCGTGAAAATAAAGAAAATTCTTTGTGATTATGTGTCTGCTTGAACTTTATTCAATCTTTAGTAATACCTACCTCAAGCACTTCTAACTGCATAATTCAATGGGTCAATTACTCATTTAGTTTTCATATTTCTTCTCCTTCTGCTCTCAATCGAACTTTTTACGTAAAAACACGCAATATTCGACCTAGTTTTGTTTAACCGAAATAGTCATTCGGTACAAATGAAGCATGTGCGTATAATGCACTTTTTTACAGTTATTTTTGGTCAATGTTGGAAAAAAAATGTCGAAGGGAATTCTTTTTTTGGCAAGAGTTTGTTATAAAACTGGCCGTATGCATGGAAAGACGGTTCAATTTAAAATTCAGTCAATGGGGTTCGAAAGTCAAGACTCGTTATCTTTTTCTCCCTTCGCCTTGAATTTGTGACACACATATTCAAAAATGGCCTACCAAATTCAAGTAGCGGTTATTGCACCACATGTTCATATTCTTGTTTCGAGTGTATTTGTATGCGTATAACATTCGATAGAGCAATAAGAATTCACCCTAGTTTCAAAGTGTATTCAAATAATGTGGAAATAGGTTATTTCTCTATTTTCATGACCATTGTTTACATCTAATTCAAGAGACTTTGCTTGCACTTGCCGCTCTTAAATAATGACATTTATATGTTTCTTCTGCTTATGAATTTCATGTTGCAAAACAAAAATCAATTAATCCTCACCGACCAAAAAAAAAATATATATAATTAGTTTCATTTTCCGTTTTTACATACACGCATAATTTACATTTGGACGCAATGAACACCACCTATTCGAACAATTATGCAAATGTTTTTTTTTTATTTCACGCTTCTCTTGATGCCGAATAACAATGAGGTAGAAAATGAATGAAGAAAAAATACGCGCGCGTCAACAAGTTGCAGATTCATTACATATTCCCCCATGCACACATTAAACCGGGCAAAGTGTATTTTTTGCTCGTTTCAAAGGGCATGCATTAAAATATCATATCATTTATCTAAATTTTCATCACCTCTCACACTGTCGGATGGACGCGTTTTTCCACACGGTTTCGGTGTCATGAGAGTGGCGGAAAAAAAAATCCCGACAAATATATTTATTTGACCATCAGGAAATGACCGTTTTCCTGAAAAATTAAGCAGCATTAACATGTAGCATACATGTTTTTATACGTGCTTCATTTTTGTTCCCATTTTGAACTGTTTACATTGGATTTCATTCTATGATTTCCATAAGGCCATTGTTTTGCTCATTGGGTGTTAACCCCAATTTTCTTATGCATAATAAATTAGACTCGCCATTTACTTCATATTTTACGGCTCTAACACAGCTTTATTATTAGATTTTTTTTTTCGCTGCGTCACAAAAATTATGTGGGTATTTCCCTTGAATTGCAGCAAGAAAGAACAATAAATTTTTATTCAAAGCGTGCGATTACATATTTATAGTGTGATACAAAATCTTTCCGCGCACTTAGAATAAGAAACGGGCCGAGTCTGCAATATGGCTGAAAGAAAATTTATTTGCTTTTTTCCATAACAGTGAGACCAGACAAAATCCCATTGAAGACAATATTCGCATAAAATATTGATTTGATAAATTTTATGGAATCCACGCAGCTCGATTCTTTAAATACTCGCTATAAAAACGGAAATCAAAGGCATTTTTTAAAAGATTACCACTCTGTTTAGAAGATTTATGGCGAAAAAATAATAATATTCGAACATTTATGCCGTTTGCATGCATTTTTTGAGTGGGTGAATGTTATGACTGGTATTTTGTTAATAAAATTGCGGTAAATAAAATTGTCTTGTTTTCGCATGGAATAAACGGCATATTTGGGAAACCACAAAGTATATGCTAGATTTTTGATAGGGTGAGATTTAAGGGTGAAATCATTTTCATGTTCAATTACAAAACATTCGTATATTTTTTGACATCCATATGAATTTTATCGAAATTCAATATGGATGATATCGAAAAATGTTTTGTCACTCAAAAAATTCAAATAAATTCATTATTTTAATTCGTCGATTTTTGAAGTGAAAAAAAAAAAACAAAAATTTCGAGATAGAAATAGTGTATAGTCAGTAGGAAGAGCTATTGTCTTCCAATTAAATTAGATTTTTCTATTAAAGCAATTAAAATGTCATTGATTTGTTGAATATGATTCCAAAATATGGTCCGAAATCGATAATCGTTCCACTGGATGCGATAGAAAATTCCAGTGGAAGTAAATTTGGTTTGCGACTCGAATGTGTAAATTGTCGATTCGAAAAAGCGGAAAATGATAAAACGCTTGTGTTATCAGCACCAGTGAAAGCGAAGCACTGATTCGTATAGGCGGCGCAACATTATCAGAATCCTATGGCTCCACTGTGCATTATAGGAAAATATTCAATTGGACATGTGGGTGCGCGTTCTACGTTGGCGCAGAAAAAAATCGGCTATTGTACATATACACGCATACAGATGCAATGACAACAACAACAGCTCGTACAGAGGAATGGGAAAAAAGTGTTCTATGAAAAATGTCGATGCGAAGAAATGAAGGCAGTGGAAAAAAAAAACGTGAACAGAATTGAAGTGAGAAAAAAATCGTGTCTGTGGATTGGTGTAAGAAAATGCTGAGCAAAGAACCAATACCAATACCATATGCATATATATTCGTTTAAATATCATACCCCACTCAATGCGTTCAATCGAACAGTATTTTTCGTGGAATTTTTTCTCAGTTCAAACCGATTTTTTTTTTCTTCACTTTTCATATTTCATTTTGCAGCATTTTTCCACGATAAATTTTTTTTCTCGTTCGATTGAAGCTGTCGCAGTGTCACAAACGAACCAAGTCTGTCTGTCTCATTCTTTCTTTGTATATGTGAGTGTGCTTGGATATGTTTATTTTTGGCCAAGTGTGTTCGCTTAAAAAGGACTGAATGGGTGAAAAAGCAAATGAAAAAAAGAGAAAAATGTTCGGTGAGAAAACGGCGACGTCAGAGCATCAAATCCAAGACTTTTACCAAGACGAAGACAATTCCACATACATAACATTTTCTATGTAGTATATTATTTAAAAAGAATGACCGCCCAGACCTCCATCAGTTGGAATTTTTTTTCTCCATCGTCTTCTTTTTTATTTCTGTGTATTTGTTCGTTTTTCGGGTTTTCATGCCCGTCGCACATCCGAGAATGGTTTCACACAGATAAATCGCTATTGCAATAGCTAGAAAATAGATGTGACAAGACGCTTTTTGCACAACATATAACCACGAAACATTTTTCACTGTATACGATACTTCTATACATAATCGAAAGCAAAATGCTCGTACAACCATTGAGTTGGATCTTGTTCGCAAGCTTTTTCATTGTAAGAGAATGAAAAAGTTTTTTTTCTCGTTCGGTGCTTTTCTCTTAGTTTCTTTTCGGATTTTCTTCTTTCGTTTGGGAACATTTATTTTGGCTGTCGGTGTGTGTATATATATTGAGAGCCAAAACGTGTATATTGAGACGACATTGTGATTTCGAGTCGAGAGAGTAGTTGGTCGTGAGCACATTTTGGTCGGTTTTTGGTAGTGAGCATATTTTGTGTTGAGTTCATTTGTGATGGTAAATAAATAGCAGACACACTGTGTATACTCATTCGTTTTCGTTCGTCGCTTTGATTGTGTATGCATATATGCAGTGCGCTCATTTTATGTCACGACTGTCTCCTTTGTATGTCTTTCGAAACATGTCGACGTATGGGTGTTGATTGTAAAATCATCTAATTCACAATGCTCGCACACATATATCGAGCAGCAGCAATAGAGAAAGAGTGTGCGACTGCATGGGTGAAAAATCGAACTTTTGGGAAAACTCATCCACTAATTTTTCGTACGGTAAAACATCGACCAGTTAGTCGCGTGAACATTTTACACGAGAATATAAGGTGAAACATCGACCGTTTCGATTTTCCAAAAATTTTGGACGGTTGTGTGCGCTTTTTTTGCTCATCTCCCGGTATACCGAACTACCATTTGTTGTTTAGTAGATGTGATTATTGTCGTCAATTTCACTCTCTCTCTCGTCGGCAGTATCGTCAACACTATATCACACTTTCTCATTCTTGGCTCTCAACATTTTCATTATTTGTTTACTTCCGGGTTTTAATCCCGCGTGCTTAAAAACTCATTTATTTTAATTTCATTTGTTGTGAAGTTTTTGGGAACACAGAGAAACTTGATGATTTTTCAATGTAATGGATACTAAAATTATGTGCAATAGCACGTGGTGGAATTTTAATTAAAATTAGTTCTTTTTTGGCAGAAAAATATCCCAGATTTACATGAATTAATCGAAAAATTAACAAAACATTAATGGACAAAATATTGAAAAGAAAAGACTAAAGGTGTAAATGGTAAATGCCATTGACGAAACGATTAAGTATCTACTGTCAACGCTAATGTGCATTGATTTGAAGTAAATTACAAACAAATAAATGGCAATTCGCTAGCAGAGAAACACAAAAAAATATTGCATGTTGTCACGAAAATGGTGTATTACAGCAATTTATGTGCCAACGCTATATCAAATTACCGCGAAGAAAAATCCCAAAAAATTGTTTTTTTTTTCTTTTAAGTGACGTGAAAATAACGAACACATACAATTGTTATGTTATCCGAAAGTGATTCAAAAGTCAAAACAAATAAAAAGGTGCAGAAAAAAAGTAAACAAGAAAAAATCGAGCAACCGAAAAAGCAATCGACACACACGAGATTCGATTTTGGGGAGGGTTAAACAGAAAAAAAATTGCTCTTTGATTTTTTGTGCCATTGTTTACATGTCAATAATTATACATTCGTGCAGTGCAGTGGTTGCGATGTGAGTTTTTTTTTGTGTGAGACGTTGAGAAAAAAAACATATTATAATAAATATAATCGCGTAAATAAAAAAAGACTTCATCAAATTGTCACAAGGGCGCATTTGGAACCACGATTTTTTTAAAAGGCAAATTACAATATTTATGAAAGAAACGTGGATTTTTGTTTTTCATTTCACAATTATCGAAATAGAGCCCGGTGTGCGGCAATGTAATTATTGCTTGTAAGCGGAAACGAAAGTGGTGTAAGTAATTTCTGATACGTTCTCCCGATTGGTCTATAGAGTTTTTGATTAAAAATTTCGAAATTACGCAGTCGAACGACTGGCAAAACAAGTATAAATAAACCAACTTTGGATATTAAATTGGTCGATAGCTATCAAGAAAAAAAAATTGTTGCTATTTGGAGCGCAATTCGATCTTAACCGCATTGTGTATGTGCATCAATTTGGAAAATTACTTAATGCGAATGGTTTCGACGGGTTTTTTTTTCTTTTTCTTCGACGTTGCCGACGCCGTCGCTTCGAGTGCGATTTTCGTGTAGAAAAACCGTTTATGAAGCGCTGATTTTCATTTACGATACAAGTGAATTGAGTTCAGTGCAACGGCAGGCACGGATTTATCTCTAAATCACAAAAACTTGTTAAAAACCGCATGCGAATTTTACAATCTTATATGAATCTAACGAAATATGAGCGAGCGCATTCAATTCATATTGTTTATATTTTTTCAACAAAATTTTGTTTTTATTCTGTTTTGTTTTGCAGCTTGAGGAGTCTCCATGGAATTGGTGGTAGTTATCGAAAGAACGGAGTATTGTCGTATTAATGTGAAAAATGAAAGAACAGTCAAATGCCGGAAGTAGAGACGATGAGTTAGATTATGTGAAATGTCATAAGCGTATTTATCGCGACGAAATCGATAAATCAATTTGTGTACAAAAGAAACGAATTCAAAACTATACGATAAATCGGTTTGGTGTGTGTAATGGTCGATATGCTGACGGCGAACAAGATGATGAAACATTAATACGTGAAACACAGGCGGCGTTAAAGAGCTTATCGGGCAATTGGAATGAGAAAAACCATTCACAAAATACGGAAGAAAATTCGGTGTTTCAAAATTTATTCGACGAAAAAGCCGACATGAAAACAATGTCACCGATAACAACAACAGCCGCATACAATGCGAATGAATCAATGGCAAATCATCGCGATTATTATTATTTAAATGGTAAACCAAAATCAAGTGGTTTACAACAATCGAAAAAACCGCGATTGAATGATGGTAAATACGACTTTCATGAGTTAGTTGTCGGCAACACCACCGCCGCCGTCGCTGCTGCTGCTGTCACCAATCAAACCGACAAGTTAACATTGCACAGTGATAAAAGTGAATACGAGAATAACAGTAGTGAATATCGTAGTGTTCAGTCATTTTCACAAAATTCAGCATTCCATCCGCCTTCGATGTTCGATAGCAAGAAATCAAATTCATTTGGTTCAATGTCTCATTCGGCATATCCTTATGCTGATTCAAGCGGTTATTCAACATATTCGTCGTTGGATATGAATGCATCGTCGAATAGTTCGACGGAACGTGAACGACCGTTTGGTAAAACATTTTCAAAAGACGATGACATGAGCACGGTCACCGACTACAAAGAATACACAACACTTCAACCGGTTGCGGCCGGATCAAAGGCGGCATCAGTTATTCAGGACGTAACACGTGACGGTGGCGGCGTTTCTTCGGTGGTTGTCATGAATAGCATGAGTAATGCAAGTGTACAAAGTACAACAACATCGACAACAGTAACAGTGGCAACGGCAGCTTCGAACGACCGTACAGCCTTTCTTGAACGTCCAATGACTGCTTTCTCACCTGGAAGCAGCAACAAAGGTACGAAAACTATTTTACTTACTACTAAAATAAATGCCTTTTGCATGTTTAATCGATTCGATTACGTTGTGTGCATGTGCAATTAGTCGAAATAGAACGAAATCTAATTGCTTTTTGGCCAACGATTTGGGGTTCAACACTCACACTACCATCATGCACAATGCACACACTCACACACACACATACACCTATTTCCGACTGCTTCGAAATGCAAAACTTTAAAATCACATTCTATTTCTATGTATGGATTTTTTATGACTTTTGGTTGCGATTTGCGTGTTCAGACAAGTCAAAAGCGTCCCAATCCACAACCTACCGCAAAAAGTTATCTCCACACATTTAGCTCAAGGAATTATACAAGATCTAGACGAATTTTGCACTGGATTACATTTTATTTTTTGCCATTATTACGTTAGTTACTCTATCGACATCTTACCATTCTATGTACAATGTGTATCATACACACTCACAAACCGAAATACACACAGAGGTTATGTCTCTATGATTCACTGGAGACGCGTGATTTCACCTTAGCTCTCTCGCATAGCCGTTGTTGTGTGTTATCATATGGTTTGAATGTGTTTCGTATGTGATTACCTGATGTCGCGTTTCGCCCTTTAAATTAAACCCATTAAAATGATAGAACTGCTTTTATGATTTCGTTTCGAAGAAATCCAAACTGCTATAAACATTTATGGCCATTACATTGTTGCGATTCTATTCCTTGTGCTGTTGCTGCCGCTCTTCACAAAACCATTATCTTCATTTCAACAGACAAAAATTTCGAATCATTTTTCTCTCTCATCGTCTAGAATCAAATGTGCTCAGATCGTCGAACTGATTGTTTTGGAGCTGAAATGAAACAGATAACACATTCAGCGAATTCGTCGCGATTCTCTCATAATACAAGAGCGCTATTGAAAGCACGTGCACAAAATTCATTGTCATCACACTGCAATTCGAAAAATACAATACACAACAGTGCCAATTTGGTGTCAGTGCACTCCCGAAAAAGCGGGATACGTAACGATAGTGACGACAATGGAAACATTTTGCATAACAACCCGTTTTTCCCACCGACAAAGTAACAACTTTCAAAAACGAATTTCACACAATAACGCGCACACACTTGGAATCCTTCAATGGCCTGCCTCAAGACCCGTTGTACTGTGTGCACACATTGAGCAAAATGTGATTGCGTTGCGGTGAATAATGCACACGAAAAACCCGATTCGAAACGTCATTTTTCATTCATTTTGCACTCAGATCATTTATCAAAACCGCACACACCGCACACATTCTTTTTACAAAATGCGGGCTGCATTTGAACGATGCCAAATTAACTATAATTTCGCCGAATATAAAATCTATATTACCATTTTGTGTATGATTTTTGGTATCGTTTTATATTTTTGCAAATAAATTTTGAATGCATGTCTTTTTAAGCAGAAACCAGACTGAAATTGTAATTTCTTTGGTCAAATTATTTGCATACGATTCGATGATTCAAGCTTGTTAAATGTGTATCTTGTTATTGCATCGCAATTTTCATCGGAATGTGTCTGTTCTATGTGAGCAATTAAAGGAGAGGTGAAAATTCAACACCAAAAACAACAAGAAATGCTACCGTTGTGCCGTCTGTTTTTTTTTTCTTCGTTTGAAAGAGATCCATTCTGATTGTAGCAAAAGCTAAAAGTTTTCATTGGCTTTGAAAACCATGACAGTTTGGCTCGGAAATGCATACAGAAAGTATGCAGATGGAACGTATCGCCATAGTTCATGGTTTTTAAGGTAGACCAACGCCATTTACAATACAAACATTCGAATGCAAACTATTTTACAAAGCCGGAGAGATTTTGAAATGGATGCGATTCTATAAATAGTTTTCTGGAGGTGTGTTGTATGTTGTTACCTCACAAATTACATCAAACGCTTGAAATTCATGTAAAAGACCAGAGAGAAATTACAATTGAGTTGAGTGGCGTTTTCAAGTGTCGAAATTCATTATTTTCATTTTCTTTCGTTTGAAATATATGCATCTGGTAAATGAATGCAGATTTCAGCGTAAAATTTCAAGAATTTCACCAAACAATTTGGATTTCGAATGAATTTATGAATTTGTAATTTGTCACATTCTTTATAGCACATTTTTTTTGGAAAACTATTTTTTTTCAGAAGGTGCAAAATGTCCGATTCCTCAATGTACAGGGCAGGGCCATATTACTGGATTGTATACACATCACAGAAGGTGAATGAAATACCTATTTTAACTTGACGTTCTTTTATTTGACATTATCGATTTGATTTGATGTTTTTAGTTTATCGGGATGTCCACAACGCGATAAAATTACACCGGAAAGTAAGTAAATGCAACTATTACTCTAAACAATGACCAAATTATAAGAAATATGCACCTCCTCCTCTTCTTTTTGTAACTCTCTGATCATTGAGATAGCAAAAAATTTCACATTTAGTTGGTCTTGTTAATTTGAAATTACTATCCGCTGTGATAAAGGACACTTTTCCTTTGATACACTCACTTACCTTTTATATGCATTAGAAATACTGTGGCTAATAATAGAACGTTATTTTCGATTAATTTGATTTTGTTTTTGCTTCTGCTTGATTGTCAATAGTTTTTTTTTGTTCACTGGTTGCGTTTGTTACGGTGGTTGAGTATGGCATAAGCACGCTCATTCATTAAATAAAATTAATAGGACTTTCATTATTTCATCATTTAGTTAGCAACTCTGGTTTGTTTACTGTGTTTTTTTTCTCTGTCTCTGCCCATTGTTTCGACTCTAGCAAAATGTTTGTGTATTAATTTGTTATGATTGTTTAACAAATTCTTCTCATTGTTAAACCATATAATAAATTCAAGTATTTTCAATATATTTCGGCATTATAATGTGCTTTTGATTAATTACACTATAATCAAAATCAAGTAGATGACTTTCCCTCACGTAACATACTCATTAAATGCGATTGTTATTGCTGCTACATTGTTTATGATTATTTTTATTACAATATTTGCTTTCAATGTGCTCATTTATCATACAACCCAATTTGGTTTCAAAATATCTGATCGAATGCGAAACACAAACACATCCCATCATTTTGTATTCGTTTTTATTTTGCGTTGGCGACAAAAAATAATATTAATTTCACCATTCATTTCTTCCGTCTAATCGTGATATCTATATTGAGTGTATTCAGATAGTGCCAAAAATCCAAGATAAAATTGTATGACACTTATCTCAAAATCCTTGTTTGATTGGCCGTTGTTCGTTCCCAGAGCTGTTATTGGTACCGAAAAAGTGCGGGTACGTCTTCTGCACATTTGTCGAGATCTGCACAAAAAACGGCAGCACTTCCAAGAAAAGTACATTCACTTCCATGGTGCCTCTAACAGCTCTGTTTATTCTTCAGATAATGCAGAAAAAAGTTGTATTTTTTCGTGATCAGTGCATTTAAATCAATTATTCTGTGTTGTGTCCTTAACCTGTATTTTAAAATTTCACCCTCTCACCTCTACTCTCTGAATACAATTAATGCTCAATATTAACAAAATTTGAATAAAAAACGACAAAAAATGAATTAATATTATTTTTTTCGATTCTTTCGTGTTTTGTTTCATTTCATCCATGGGTTTGACCAAAAAAAAAACACTCTCACCTCCATTCATTCACACAACCATCCGAAATCAAATACATTCACACACACACTCAAAAAATTAAACGAAAACAAAAAAAAATAATGTAAAAGTATTAGCGACGCATGAAATAATTTTGAAGTGCCCGACAGCCGGTTGCAATGGACATGGCCATGTGAATTCAAAACGAAGTTCGCATCGTAGTTTGTCCGGTTGTCCTCATGCGGCATCCAAACGAATCGCATTACGCGAAGCAAAATATCAAAATTGCCATGCTGCTATTCGACATAAGTGTCCCACACAGGGATCAGGTTTGTATTTATATCGAAAACATTGACCCATAAAAAACAAGAACAACAACTGCAACAAAAAGTTTTTTTTTTTTTTTTTTTTTCAAAAAGTGAAAGTTGAGCAAAACTCTGATTTCAATGTTATGCCTTTTTTCGTTTATGTCCGGTTTTTTTTCAGTGACAAACTATAGCTCAAACGACTTCAAAAGTTCATCGACAGTATTTTCAGCGAAATCCAATCTCAGCCAAAGTATAAATGTTCTTCATACGGCCAACGTTTACGGTGATAAGGTTACGATGAACAACACAAAATTGGTGTCTGAAAGTGGCGACTCAAAATCTCTAAACAACAGCAATTATGGCAATGACACAAACTTTTCCAGCATTATGGGTGGCACAGCAGCGGCGGCGGCAGCCAACGTTAAAATGGAACATATGATCAAAAGTGAGAAATCGAAAAGTTTCAGTGAAAGTGGTAGTAAAAATGTGTGCATCAACGACAGTATACCGAATCAACGTGCTGACAATAATGGCAGTTCGATAAATCAAATGAATTTGGGTGCATCATCGTCGAATTGCTATCCAAGTGCAATGGATACATCGATTGAACAGTCAATGAATAACAACGATGAGCTATGCTATCGCGGTTACACAAATTCAAATGATATTTCGAGGCCGGCAGTACCTTTTGCCAATGATATGATGACAAATCGAGCTTTGGTTGCCAATTATGAATACTCAGCCGTTCGAAGCTATGAAAATGCCATGAATGGCATTTCGACGGCGCCAACATTTGATCGATACGATATGAATTTGGGAAATTTGTATGCGTCATCGTTGTCGATGCAACGATCAAATCTAACATATCCATCATATTTGAATACATTCGGTGCGGAAGATCCAAATCAACAGAAATATCTGCATGAACATCATTTCTCGCAAGCGGGCATGTTAAAAAATGACACCGGAAGTGAGAACTCAACACCATATTATCCAAAGCCAATGTATCACTATGATCCCGCATTTCCATTGGCTGGATTTTCAGCGATGAATTTAAGTCTACGAACCGCGGCCGTTGCTGCCGCAAGTGGAACACTTCCAATCATGGACTTAACTTCGGCCAATGTTACTTCGTCAAATTTGGTCGGTTCGGCCAATCCACCCATTTATTCGACCGGCCAACGACTACAAACCACAATTTCGACGACAAAATCATCACGCACTCCAAATCTCAGTCCACAAACAAATAATGCCGAACAGTCAACTGATAATAGTAATCGAATGTCATTGAATAGTATGAAAATTCAATCATATTCTGGTGAAAATTTCGCACCTAATTCACGATCTCCACCGGTCGAACCGGTCAATTTATGCAATAGTCAGATAAAACCAGGCACATTTGCTGGCGATAATTCAATTGAAACTGCACAAAATCGTCCATACAGTCGCGATTCAACATCCGACAGTAATGCATCTCCCTATGTTGTGGACGCATATAAAAACGATCCAATGGGTAAGTTTTGGCTATTGTCATAACAAAAATGAAAAACAACAACTTCAAATGCATTTACAACAAAAGACATTTTTCAAATCGATTCTAGCAGTTTTGTAATTGTTCTGATGGTTTTTTTTCAGACAATTTTTTTTTTTGAAAATGAAGTATTTTCGCCATTTGAATTGTTGTTGTTTGTAATGTGTATGTGTGCGCTCGCTGTGTATGAAAAAATGTGCAGTATTCGCATATATTCATTATTTATGCAGTGTAAAATGCAATATTTTACGCCAAAATCGTTCGCTAACTCGGAAATGTATGTTTCGAAGTGAAAAACAAATAAATGAATAGTAGCGCATACTGCAAGCGCATACACACCATAAATTATTTACAAAGCATTTTTCTCCGTTTGAAAAAGTTTCATTGCCTGCAACAAAAATAGACAAAGAGAGCGAGCAAAAAAAAAAATGAAAAAAAGATGAAAATGCGCGTTTCCATCCGCTTTATTCATTTGCTAAAATAACAAAAAGTATGTTTGTATGTGTATGTGCATTTGTCTGATATGGTGTTTTTTTCTCTCTCTCTTTCGTTTCGATACCCTGTAGGTTACAGTCCTCATCCAAACTACGGCATGATCACGCAAACGGACTACACAACGGGTAGTAATTATGGTAGTTATGGTTCGATAGCAGCATATCAAAGTGCTGGCAATTCAACGTTGGGTGGTCCAATCGCCAGCGGAACAACAAATAGTAGCATTGCTGGCACAGTAAATCCATATGCCAGTTCAGTTATTGGCTCATCGAATGGATATTCAAATGTGCTATCGATTTCAAGTGGTGGAATTCCATCGGTATCATCATGCTATCCAATACCATCGTCGCAACATTTGCCGACTGACAAAAACTGTACAAAAGAGAGGTGAGTGTTTATTAAACCAACGAACCAAAAGATTTACGGTGTAAAAGCGTTCTTTTTTCCATGACGCTGATAAATTGTTGGAAAAATCAAAATTCATTTGGTTCGAGCTGCATCAGCAATTGCATGCTTGATGCTATTTCCACTTTTTCGATGTCAGTTTCCTGTTCTATCGAATATATTGTAGTCTATATGCAAGTTTAAAATGTAATTAACACCAATGTAAATGACACCATTGAGAATGTTGGAAAAATGTTTGGACATCATGCGGTTTTCCAGTAAATGGTAATTTACAAGCTCTAAACAACTGCAATCAATGTCCGTTTCGAACGAATATAATGGCCTTTCCAAAAAATACAACTCTTGAAATTATCCCCAAAAACATGACCCTCGCCTTCAATGTGGGGGCAAGTTGGGTTAGCAAATACTTTGTGAAAACGAGAATTTATTGTCTATTTTTCGTTCATTTCGAGTGCAAGCCGCTCGAAAGAGCACACAAAAGATAAATTTTCGTTCAAGTGTGACATTTGTTGTTTAGCCAGCTAACCACTTTTCACACATGCAATCGGAGTTGTGTGTCACACAATGCTAAGTATAGCTGCTATGCCCTTCCCTTTCTCATCCTTTTTCTCACTCTCCCTCTTGATTTAAACAGCAATAAAATCTATTTCTGGCAAAGGTGATTCTAATTTCCATGTTCAGCCAAATAGTTTGGCTTGTGTTGCGGCAGCAGTGAGAAGAATGAGTTTTTGGTTCGATTGAAGCGAATGTTAATTGGTTATATTTTTTGAATAGTTTTAGCAGATTCAAGCAGAAAAAGCTGGACATTTGTCAAGTGGAGATGATTTACAATCGCACACACAAAATATTCAAGTTTCATGAGTACCATTGACCAATGCCATTTATTAAATGTCGCCCGAGACAAAGCCAATGATACCAAATCGCATACGACTACAATTCCAATAAAATATAGAACGGTGACAGTCAGCAGCATTGTGATAGTTCACATAAATTTCAAAAGTTGTCCAATTTAGAATGTAAATTATTTATTACAAACCAATTTTTGGTTGATTTTTCGGAATTAAATTGAAAATTTTCGACAATTTCTCGTGTTAGTGGGCACACGGTCGTTAATAGCACGATAAATCGACTAAAGTATATTCGATTGCTTTGAGAAAAATTCTCTTGTTCTCGACCAAATCAGAGGTAATTTACAGTGTGTTACTATCATGTTAACATATGTATTCGATATATTTGAACGCGATTTAATTGCATATTATTCATTTTGACTCGAAATAGGAATACATTAGAAAAATTCGAACCATTTTTCTATCTGGTCGTGTGCCATTTTAAAGGATAATAAGTTTTTGACACGCAATTGTTTTTAGCCGTATCTACATCGATCTAAGTTTTTCTCACACTCCAAATCCTCCTCTTGTAATATACACTAAGACGACGCATGTAATGCATACATATCCATATCTCACACGCATGTACATTGAACAGACAACAATTTAATGTGTTGTAACTGTTTAAATGGTTTTCTCTCTAAATTGTTTCTTCGATTTGTTTTGCATTGTTCTTGTGCTGTTTCTTTTCGAATGCGGTCTTTTGAGTTTTTACGATGTGTTAGCAGGTATATTACTCGTAATACGATTATAATATCGTTGCAGGAAGCAAACAAAGACGAAGAAGAGAAGAGAGAGAAAAAAATGCAGGGGGGACGAAAACATTATAATTCCGTGCGTTATTGACGGCACGGATATTACACATGTGATATCGGCACATATGACTTGCATATGAAAAAGCAATAATCGAAACATGCACACACACCGCCGTAATAATAGTAACAATTTTATTTCTTATTTATTCGACGCGATGTACACTTTTTACACATGAAGACTGTATGTATTTATGAGGCTCTTTTATGACTGTATCGCCGATTGACTGAACAGCTTACTGCGTGTACAAGTAGATTTATGTAAATGCTCTAAAGTACAATTCATATTTAAAAAAAAGAAACAATCAACATACCGAGGATTTAAATGATTGACTTTTGCCACTCGTAAACGGATTTTACGCGGAAAATCCAACGGATCAAAAATCAATTCATCGCAAATCGAATGATATTAAAGAGGATTTTATCTGTTATCACTTATTCAAATCACATTCTAATCGAATTACTTCAATGCGTGTTCGATGCGTAATTGCGTAAACTTACCGTGCTGCGTTTGACCTCATTCATTACATAATTCATTTGAAACGATATTTGAAATGTAAAGGGTTGATATTACATTTCAATTGCATTTCAATTGAATTGATTATTAGAATTGGTTATTAGCCATATCTTTTCATTGTAATCTTATTCGATATTGTCATGTAATTTAATGTAAACATAAATTAATTGCAATATAATTAAAATCATGTCTCGTTCATTCGAGAATAATTGATTTTCGAGAGTTATTCGAAACACTTTCACTTTCATATAATTAATTTCATTTTTAAAAAAATGGTTTTTATGAATTGGCCTCACTTTGCTTCGCACTTTTCTGTGGATTTCACTTTTCACTGAAATATTTCAATATTTTGCTCAAAACCGTGTACGGAAATTTTCGATTTTATGCAAATGTTCAACAATTGTGACAAATTTTCAGTCAAAAAAGGATCATTAGCAAAACATTGGCCAAGATTTATGTGAGCGACAAATTTATCGCTTTGGTTAGAACACTTCGAAAAAAGCATAATGACTTCTGTCATTAAAACAACCAATAATTTCTTGACCGGCAGCATTCATTCGTTAATGACAGCGTATACGCATTATACATTTCAGACAGGAACAAACACTTTCCATGTTATTTATTTTGATTTTAATGGCAGCGCATTTGTTTCAATTTCGGGGGTGGACATATTTTAATTATGTTTTTCTATGCATTTCTGCTGAACAGACATGAAAACATATTTCAAGAAAATTTCTATTGAAATGAATGGAAAAACCATCTTAATTGTTCTCAAATGGTTACATCCTTTGCGGGTGTAGTTTGGCATTGCATGCTTGAAATGTTTTGTTTCTCTTTTTTCAGTTTATTGCTATGTGGTCGTTTTGATCGAAGCCATTTACAGCCCACTCAAGAGTTAAAATGTCCGACAAGTGGATGGTAAGTATATTCCACTCCAATTTTGTCTGAAAATGCGAAAATTTAGCGAAAATATAAAATAAATGTTCCAGTGATGGCTCTGGCCATGTAACTGGCAATTATTCATCTCATCGTAGTTTGTCCGGATGTCCACGCGCAAATAAACCGAAAAGTAAACCGCGTGATGGCCAGGAATCCGAACCGCTAAGGTATGCATATTTTCGGATTATTTTCGAATTTGATTCAAAATGATTTGAGTGTGATCGAGGCGTGAGAAAAAATGGATAATAGTTTTATGTATTTTTTCAGATGCCCAATTCCCGGATGCGATGGATCTGGCCATTCAACGGGAAAATTTTTGTCTCACAGAAGGTTTGCCTTTAATTTTCTTTCAAATGAATGAGTTGCAAAAAATTACTTTAAATGGCATTCGTAATTTAAATAAGACGGTTTTAAAATTGATAGAATAACTTTGTTAATTTCAGTGCGTCAGGTTGTCCAATAGCGGCTCGAAATAAGATGCGAATTTTGGAAAGTGGCGGAACGATTGAGCAACATAAACAGGCAATTGCAGCCGCTACAGCAGCTGCGGCTGCAATGAAATATGAAGGAAACACATGCTCATCAACGGATGGTGACGGACACATGACCAACGCATTTCTAACACAAAGGTAAATCTTAAGATTTTCATTCGAATAAAAAAATTGTTGTCGTCTAATTTGATGACGGTTGAAATGAATGCGCGACCAGAGTGGGTGGCTAAAACTTCGTTTTACTGTTTCAAACAATAGATCGACAAACGGATGTCCAATGTCAATGCAACCGAGCGTAAAAAAGGAAAAATTAGACGACGTTCAAATGTGCTACTCCAAAGGATATTCGGGTAAGTGCACAAAGTGCGACAAACACAAAACATTCGAATTTTCGGTGAGTTTTTATTTAACAACGAAGCGACGAAGCAACTTTTTCAAATTTCCTGTTTCACATTTTCTTCAAATCGAATGCATTTGAAATGAAATATCTAATGGGGGAGCGCATGTGTAACGCTTTTAATGAGAAATATTTCTCTACAAAAAGGCGAGTCGCTGAAGATTCATTCGAAAATGGCTTCAAATCAAAACAGAAAACAAAACATTCATGAAAACTTAATGGCAAGTGTGTTTCATTTTGTTTAGTAATGCGCTTTATGTGTATTCAATAAACGATTTAACCCTTTGACATTTCACCCGTTTAACAGTTGCGTGTGTCATTCATACTGAATTATTCAAAAATATGTCGTGTCTCTCGAATTTTCGAAGCGTAAACCGTTTTCAGATTGAAAATGTGTTTTTCTGTGTTTCGAATTCAAATAAGATCCGGTTTTTCAAATGTATTCAAGTAATAATTGGACAATTCATCTAATTGAATTATTGAATAATGTATCCCTATTTTGCAATTACTATCAAACAAAGTGGCAACTACAATCGTATCTTTGAATCTAAAATTTGAAGTCGTCAAAACATAAGTAATAATGTTCGATATTTTTTTTTTATTTCGTAAATATTCTTTTGTAATTCGATTTTGGACTTTAGGCCATTAAAAAGTTCTCGTTCCCAGCACAGCCGTAAATTCAAATGACAATAAATAATGGTCCCGTACAAAAGTTGTTTGTTTAAAGTGAAAATATTGCATTTTTGCCATTGTTTTTTTTTATGTTATACAATTGCAAGTGGACTGTATGCAATTTCACATTAAACTGTGCCATTAAACGGCCTGCACGACGAACATTCTAAAGAAAATGCCAAAGAAATGGCAAACTTTTTAATTGATTGTGTTTTATACTAAAATGTTTTATAGTCTTTTGCTTGGCCACTTCAACAAAATTACAAAGTAAACAAATACAATGGACGCAGTTATTGTCGTCGTCGTTTCACTTATTCAGCTATGCGAACCGTATGATTTCTTCTCTCTCTTTTTTTTCAACTCTCGTGTGAACACACACACCGGCAATGACAAATTTTCTCTGCAAAATAGTTTGGAGTGTGTGCAAGTGCATATTTATGAATTTCAAAAGAGTATGTTTGCTCAAGACCATGAAGAAGAAAATAGTTCGACGACATCAAAATGCTGCCATGGACACATGCACACACTCTCATACCATCGGCATACACAAAAATTCAAGGAGCAATCGTTGAAAATTGCAGAAAAGATGGAGTGTGTACATTGTTCGCTGCACATTTGGATAGCTGTCACAATATTTTCCATCGTCTTGTGCTATGAATTTGAAATATGAACGGACAACAACCACCATTCGAAATAAGAACGAAACAAAGAAAATTGACTGAATTGTTGGGAGTGATTGTGTGCGTCTGCTGAATTTATGTGACTCTTTGTCGCTTAACGGTCGCTTACGTAAGTCAAGAAATGTGAAAAGTGGTTTGGTATGTGGGCTCATTTTCAAGACATATGTTTTGTTGTGTGGTTTAAACATCAACTTTGCCATCATACGAAAACCATCCACTGGTCACAACACTCACTCACTTGCTCTCTTGAGTTGAAATCAAGACGCTGTAAAATAACAAAAACAGGCATTTTAATGCATTTATTTGGGTTAGGCTTTGTCTCAAGCAATTTTGCATGAGACAAAGTTTTCGACGACGAAAATTACGGTTCAAATGACGAAATATTTTCTAACATGCCATTTAAAGTGATTACATGCTAAAATGTTGTCCGCCTTGGAATGTTCGATAATATTTTGGAATTGAGAAAATTCCAACTTTTACACATTTCTTTTGGCAATAATACGGAATGTTATGTACGGCCATTGGCAACGATTTTCAATACCTTGCCCAAAAATTGGCAACAATCATCGCATCGAAAACCAAACGATTTTCCAACATTTTTCATATCGTCGGTTGTCGGACAAACTAAATGAAAGTGACTGCGGCATTGTCAACAATCGTCTAATGATCAATGAACTCAGTTTTGAAAGTAGGAAGTTTGAAAACATTATTAAACACGACCCAAAAATATCAAACAACAATCATTTTGCTTGATAAACTTTTTTTTCTGGGTGCCATTTAAAATTCATTGTAAGCACCGGCTTTTATGTCACACTGTTATCCCGCCACATTTTTCTCAACAACACCAAAGAGTAAATTCATTTTCCTTTTTTTTTCGTTCTGTTTTCACCTGTTTCGATTAAAACAAAGTTATTGACCTTGAAAAAAAAAACAGAAATAAAACTTTGTATGTCTTATACACTGTGTGGTAAACTTTGTTCGAAAAAGTTGTGTATGCTGCTCGCGAGGGTGCACAACAAAGAACGGGAAAATTTGACTGGTTAGTTAAAAATCTATAGCGCACTAAAAAAAATCAGCATAAAGCAAACGAACAGAGAAAAAGAAGAAAAATGTAGACTCAACAATAAAAAAAACTTTTGGAGGCTCGCCGCCATTGATTGTCATCGCCAGCGATGAAAAGACTTTCATTCATTTTTACACCATATTCTTTCTTAATTTATTACTACATTATTGTAATCCAAAATCAAAGCCAAGCACATGATATATCACGTTGAATGGAAAACTTTCGATTTTTTTCCCTTCATTTGGTGAAAAAAAAGGCGAATCCATTAAAAAGAGTCTATTAGTAGTGTGTTTGTGTGTGAGAACTGTTTTACTAATTCTTGACACTGATTTACGACGCTGTTGTTTTTTTTCTCGTTCATTTGAAGGATTTTTAGAGATGGCGCCCATGTAGACATTCAATGCAACCGCTAATTTATTGCCATTACATTGACACAAAGACTTTGGGTTTATACCCAACGGAACAAATTTGTTAATGCGTTCATTCAATTCATTAACATTTGTCGATCGAACAAAATGTTTAAGTTCAAACTGCGGAATAATTTGTGAATAGTGTGTGAAGGAAAGAAAAGTGTGAAAATTTCAAAATCATTTGCGCATTTGTGCAATTGAATGCTTTTAAAAAAGTTTGTGTGCTATGGATTTAACAATGGAATTTCCATTGGATTTTAACATAAAATGCAGAAGAAATAGATGAAATTGTAAAATAAAAGTTTTTTTTTCGTTTCTCCCAAAAAGCATCTTACACACACCCATAAATTATTCGGTGATAGGTAAAGCAGCGTGATGCGCAGCGCACATTCACCATCACCGCTGCCACATTGACGGTGTGGAAAAAAGTGTGGATTTCGAGACAAGTTTCCAATGTTGAATAGAATCGCATAGAAAAAGAGAGTGGTAGAGAGAGAGAGAGAACATCCAACGCCAATAAATCAAATTCAATTACAAACAAAAATTGAACTAATTTCATATCGAGTGTGCGTCATTGCAATCCATTTTCTATTGAACACAAGCTTCTTTCTCGCATTTGTCTCCGAGTGCTTTTTTCCTTTTTTTCTCTCTCTGCTGCTCTTGAATTTGATTTGTCGATTTGAATTCCATTTCGAGTGTGTGTGTGTAGGCAAAAGCATTTGAAATGTGTATAAACGTATCCAATGAAATTGTCAGAAAAGCAATTGTTTTCCATTTTCGAATTACACGAGTCGTATTTCACCTCCAAGTCTATGTGGGAATCAAACGAACGAAACATAAATAATAAATGTGCGTAGAATGTGGCTGTCGCCAAGCTCTTGGGCGGAATATAAAAAAAGTCGGGGATGGTAACGGTGGTCGTCATTGCTATCAATTCACCTGATACACGCAACAATTCGATACGTGAAACATAGCGTAAAACGTAAATTCGTTTTTCAATGTTTCAAAACATGAAAAGCTTTTTATTGCGTTGAATATGGTTGGCTGGGATTTGGTTGCTTTCTAACGTTTTTTTTTCTTTCGCTTTTCTACTCATCGTTTACAGTACACACATTGGAAATTATAGCTCATAATGTATTTCCATCACGACATGTTGAACGAGAGAGCGATCTAAAAAGAGAAATAAAAAAACGCAACAGCAACACAAGAGAGATTCATATTAAAATGTAGCTCAACACCAAAAGTGGAGGCTAAACTTTCGGCCAAAGAAAAACCGTCACGATGACAGAGAGAAAAAAAAGATTCCATTGCATAAATGCTTATGTGTGTATGGCACTCAATGTATGTTGTACATAATTCATGCGCATGAAATATAATTTCGGAGAAAGAAACGAAGAGCGAGAGAAATGAAGAGAAAAAAAAATTGGTGATGCCGAGATAGTTGGTTGAAAACACACGGTACATGGAATTTGTCTATGTAATAAAAGCTCTCACGAATTCGTGCTTGTATGTTGGCTGTTAATGCTATTTGTTTCTCGGTCTTTCTGGTTAGTTTTATTTTTTATACTTGTACATTCTTTTTTTTTATTGAGCTGTGGCAATTTTGCACGTGCGACGCGAACATAGCAATGATTTAGTATGCTCCCTCACTCTACTCTCTCCCTCTCGTGATTTTCGCAAATTATAAATGGTTCGCCATTTTTTCTGCTCGCTGGTGTGTTTTTTTTTTCGCCATTCGTCGGGATGTCTGATTTCTCAAATAGTCATCGGGTATATGTTTTGTATGCGAGAACATGAAATGGGTACGCGTGTGATAGTTTTATGCATGTAAGAACTGTTGGTATAATTGTACATAGATTTTCGTATTTACCGGTTGGGCATGTCCGTTTCAAGCAGTTTCGAACAGTCATTGGAAAACTTTAGCTACTATACACTAATGCTTTTGCCATTATACACCCTCTCTCTCTCTCTCGCTCTGCACAGAGCAACGCCCTTTCCACTTTCTCTCACTTCCTCTTCTCCAAAAATGAAATGAATACACGACGGTTTCCATTTTTTGCTCATCCATCCTGCATTTCGTCCACTTTTTGAAGCGACAAAATGAAAGAATCATGTAGGTAAAATTAATTTCATTCAATCGTTACTTTGTCTTATATTAAATGAAGTACAAGTAAAAAGCATTAAAACAATTACTGCCGATAAAGTTACGATTTCACAACTATATATTTTCTGTCGGCGTCCATTTTTTTGGGGAGGCCAAAGTATTAAAATTGACTCAAACTTTATTCCATTCAATTTAATAAATGAATACTAAGAAAAAATCGATCAAATTATTTAAATTGTAATTTTACTCTTACTACTTTATTGACTTTTCAAACTCATTTACTATCAATTATCGGTTTTATGCGTAGACCTTTCTTTTTGCCAAATTGAGCTTTTGAAAAAATATTTCTCGCAACTTTAAAGTTTGTTCGATATCATTTTCTGCAATATATTTGAAGTATGTCATCACAGTCCTCGTTAAGTACTATCACATTTCGTTCATATTAAACATTGCAAGCGTTACGACACGCAATACATCGCTCAAACTTTTCTGACTCTCACTTCAAACTTGGATATTTTTTAAAAAAATTCACAAAAATCGATGCGTTTACATTCACAAGCGCTGGTAATTGAATCGAACCGGAATTTTCAGTTTCAATTCACTCATTCATGTGGTAAAGAAAGTGTGTGTTTTGAGTTTTTCAACGACCGAAAAAGTTTCAAATGCAAAATTTCAACGCAAAGTGTTTGAACGCTATTTGATGCGATAGAAAATGAATGAATCGGGGTTTTTCCTTTCATTTCAATTTTCTTGAACAAATTAGCAACATAAATATTTTATTGCGCTAAAAATGTATTTAAGTATATGCATTTAAGTACTGTGCTTTATTTGCATCGTTATTGCCAAGTTTTCTCTACTTCAATCTTTTTGCCACTTTCGACAAGATTTACTCCATTTCGCATCAATAACGATAATGCATCGACTCACCGAGTTAAGACAACTTATTCGCTGAGTTTCCATTACGATGATAGGTGTTCTTTAGCTCGTATCCGGTTGGTAAAAAAGTTTTCGACTAATTCGAAATCCTAAGACATCGCTCTATTTCTCTCTTTCTTTCAATTTAAAATTGTTAATGGCAGTCGATTTATATTTTATGCTTACTAAAAGTTGTTCACGCATTTTTGATCTATGAATCGGTGTTTTTGATCTAGTCAACAGATTACTATCAGCCGCAGTCGATGAAATATTTTCAGTACAAGCATTTAAAAGGCGCATTAATTAATAATAACAGTTAAAAGATGACGAAAATCGAAAGAAAGTGTATTCAGCCAAAAAATGGGCAACATAAAACAACTTGTACACAAACATGACAATCATTAAACTTTTTCTCAAATGGATGGAGAGGGAAGAGAGAAGGACACAGAGGGAGAGTGAGAGAGAGAGAAGGTGACTGAACTCACGAAAATCAACAATTGGATCAACCGAACTTTTCATTGCCTTTCAACAGCATATAATCAATTGTCTTTTCGAGCTCAGTTTCGCAAAGGCAACAACAATGAACTAACTAAATTATATCATTGAATTTAATTCTCTGTCTTTGTTGTTGTTATTATAGCTGAATTTTATTCCAAAAGTTGTTGGTATTTGGTTTTGTTGCGCCCGATGAAAATAGATCAAAAACATATGAAATTCTTTGAGAGAATCGTAAATAGTTTTTCACTTTTACAAAAGCAACAAAAAAACAACAACACGACGTAATCCAGATGAAGAGAGTTTTATCAGGCAATTACCAACATCATAAGTTACGAAAAAGGACTAATGCTAACAACATTGCAAAAGACATTTAAATGAAGAATAAAGCAAAAGCAAAACTTTATATTTTTCGCCGATTTTCATGGAAAAGGAACTGAGAAATGAAAAAAAAAAACACACAACAAACCCCGAACAAAAACCAAACCAAAAAAATGAAGTTGTTTCATCAGCATTTGGACGAAGAGGCTTTTAAATAACATCTCTTTTCAAACAAAACACTTTCGGCCCATACAAAGGCAAAAGTTTTTGCATTCTCAAAATTCTCATCAAAACATTTTTGCTATTTTTGATTCAAATGAAACACAACACCGATTTATGTTCGTACAATGTATCAGCCAGTCCGTACGAATGATAAAAATAAACTTCGCCTTTTTGCATTGAATGCAAAATAAAAACTTATTCTTTTTGCAGTTGAGAAAATGCAACGCAATCGATATACGTATCGTAAATTTCACTGGGTCGCAATCGGAAGTGATAAATTCCACAGTGACCATGGTTACGTTTATTCAATAAAATATTTTACAAGTACAAATCCTCGATTCTAGTTACTCCTTTGGAAAAATGCATTTCATAAAAAATCGCGAATCTCTTTGGGCTTCTTTTGAACAAATTTTTGTCTATTCGACGTTGATTTACTCAAACTCAATAAAATGAGTATGACCGATTATACTGATTTGGGGGTAACTGAATGTTATTTGGGGGATTTCCTCTCTTAAAAATGTTTTTTTTCTTTTTTCATTCGAATTTTAGGTTAACATTTCTTGGCATTTTTTTTCTAATGAAGTTTCTTTTTTGCAGATCCATTTCATTAGTCGAAGAGACTACATCGTGTGTAAGTGCTTGTAAACAGGAAATGTATAAGAAATATGAATCTGAAGTAGTTTTAATAACAAAATGCAATGTAAATAAGAAAATTAATTTAATTTCCATTGAATAAAATACGGGAAATAATTTTTGTGCATAAGGGATTTCGATTTCTTTTCTAGATTATCAAAAAAAAAAATGTGTCTGTATTGTAAAAAATGGAAAATAAAATGTCTTAAGTTTTAAAATCCACTTAAATGTTTTACTTTTATCAAAACGGAATACTGAAATTGAAGGGTTTAAAACACTCACCAATCGGCTGAAGTAAGTAAATTTCTTAAAAGCGTGAAAATGGTTTGAATTCTCGATTGTCGCTTATTTTTGTTAAATGTGCTTTTCTGAAATCAAATGAAAAACTTTCCACAGAATGCGAACAGAGGGTATGTACGTCTGTGATGTAGGATTTTCCCTCGAAAATGTATTTTCGACAAAATCCTCAAAAACAACGTAGCGCTCTCTGTGGAAAATTGATCAAAACGTCCATTGAAGCTACCATAAGCTGCTGAAAAGTTCGAGGGTGGAAATATACATGCATCCCTTGTACAAAGTAATATATTTGAGATAGCAGTTGCGTTGTGCGCACAACGGTGGTTTGTTGACACAGTATCTCCGCACAGAAATGTGCAATGATAATCGCCAAGTTGTGTTAACAACGGTTGCGCAAGCATGTTCCAAATGCATGTTGCGTTCATCAGTTCATTATCCGAGTATTTGACAATATCGGTGTTACGAAACAAAAAAACAACTGGAACGATGGCAGTAGCAGCGACAACGGCGGCAGCATCAATAACATTTTGCACGAAGCACTCAGCTGTGAGGGATGCGCGCACTAGATGCGTGCTTGTGATTTAGGTGGTTATGTTGTTGGTGCGAAATTATGTTCTCGCAGGAGACGCACACATTAAACAAATAAAATCACACACAGGTCATCTCGTGCATATCGACCACGCATACATTTTCGCAATGGTCGCTGTTGCCGCATGGAAAATTGTCTCTGATTTAGATTCAAAATGAATGTGTGTATGCGTGTGAAAGAATAAGTAAATTGGAAACAGTGGCCGAACTGAAAGCGATAAAATATATTTTTCATGTGAGCCACATATTTATTAGAGTGGCACAGATTTGAATGCGTTTTTTTGTTGTTTGTTCCAGTTGGATGAGTTTCGTGTAGACCGCGATTTGTGTCTCTTTTCGTCAGCATCTCGTCAACAACGGTGCGCTGCCGACGCATTCAATGTGATTCGATTTTTTGTTGCTCATTGCTGCATCTCATAAAAGCAACAAAATTCATGATATTCGTTGATTTTCGCGCAATAACACATTTCCACAATATCTCGTACACTCTATATCATCCATATCCATGGATGCGAGAAACACTGTCAACTAAAGTATTGAGTTGTGCATGTGATGCCTGACGGTCGCTACGACAATATCATTGTATTTGTGCACATCAATTTTGGATTGCTTACGCGTTTCACCTTTTTTCATATATATTGTAAGCTAAACGGGGCCGCAGCAGCAGGCAGAAAGGCTGTTTGTGTGTAACAACATTTTCGTGAGAGATTTTGCATGTATGTTTTTGTGTCTGTGTGCGTACGATTTATTCACGTTTTCTGTGAAAGTGTGTGGAAATTTTCAAGTGTGCTTATTACGAATTGAAGACGAATAGTTATTTCAATGGTTTATTAACACCGGTGTTGTTTTAAACCACAATCAAAAACAAATCATTCATAAAAAAAGAAGAAATTACACTGCCCCCCACCAAAAAGTATTTGACGTTTTTTTTATATATACATACGTGTGCTCTTTAATCAAAACAAAGTGAATCTCGTGCGTTCAAAATCAATAATTTAAAAATAAAAATAAAATCTGTTCTAAAATCTCAAGTGCAAGAAGTAGTCTGCATAATATCGATAATAAAATATTAACCGAAATAATAATTGTTCGATATGCAGTTGCATTTTATTGTATGCAAATTAAAGATTGAGTTCGTTGCACCGTGTTGTTGTTATTGACCAATAACCGAATAAGACACTGTTGTGGTCTTGCAAATTTGATAAGGCTAATTGAATTTTAGGTATGACAGGCAGCAGATGCGCTGCCGATTAAACCAAAAAAAAAATCACGACATACCAGTAAATTTTTACAATACGCCACCAGACGGATTAGTGAATTATATATTTGGACTGGAAAAACGAACATCAAGAGAGAAAATGAAAAAAAAAAGCTTAAGAAGTGTAATTCACAAGCAAAATGCTGGCACATTTTTAGAGTCTCATCATTTTTTTCGAGTTTATTTTTACATTAACATCCATCACGTTTATTGTTGTTATTTTTATGGCCGTTCTCTGTGTGTACTATTATCACCAAACCTTGTAATAGACGTGAGCTTGAGCAAAGTGTGTATGTGATGCTGTTTGCGTGGAAGAATCACACACGGCACTGATGAGGCTGTGTGAGGGCGTTGGTGTTTGTGTGATTCTCGCGCTCGCTCTTCGCTCTTACACACATATCTATATAGTCGATATGGATTTTTTATATGCAATTCATTCACATGCCTTCGATTCGAATGCTGTGCTTTCACTTCTTCTTATTTTTCTTGTCGTTTGTCTTCAATTTGATGTCATTGCGTTGTTGAGTTGATTTTATCCTCATTCCTTGGTTTCGGTTGTTTGTTATAACCAATCCCGTTTATGGCCTACTCGCTCGTTGTCGATGACGTTCGTGCGATGTGTATGCCAGCACACAAGAGACTGAAGTAGCAACTTTGGCGGATAGCGTTTATGTCCCGTTTTTTTATGATGGTGTGCCAGCATTTGCTTGAGCCACTGAACGACACTTTAATTTTGAAAGAATATGTGTATGTGATGGTAAATTAAGACATCCACACATCGCCGATTGTGCCATCGGCATATAAATATGCCTGTCGTTTACTTTTACGGGTGTGAATATATGTTGTTAATCGGTTGCAGTCTTCAAATGCCATTTTTCCTCACTTCCTTTAGATTAACCGTCGAGGACGTGTAATTAACTAAAGCTCGTAAAAAATGTCGTACATAAAATCAATGCTGGTGTGCTTAATGATTTTATTGGTGAATCGGATTTCATGGATCTGGAGCACGGCAGCTGAATCACATGAATCGGCTATTCACAAAAGAGGTTAGTGGTTTTAATTAGACTATTTTGTTATTGTCATTTTTCTTCTATCTCCATCGTTCTATTAATAATACACAATGAATCTGAAATTAATATGTGGGAACATTTGAGGTTCGATTGTATCTCATTTCAATTAGTTCGTCCATGGACATGTGGCATATGCCACAACATTCAAAACATTTATAAAGTTCTCAAGTCGGACGGAGGGTGGTACTTCATTCCATGCAAAATTTCATGGACGTTTTTACAAATTCAACGAATTTTTCGACATCATTCACACCAAATTCAACATTTTAGATGAAAACTTACGCCGTAGCTATTACACGAGATGAGAGTGTAAGAACCTAAGGTTCGAAATTAGAATGTACAAATAGAAAGTGTAAAATGATACTCGCAACACGTAAATAAATTGTGAGTGAAGACAATGCGATGTACCTTCTTCTCTTTTTTTGCTCGACGTCCTCATTCCAAGCATAATGATGTACCGATAATGATGTTGTCGACAATGACAAGAGGCTTATTATATTTCACTTTATTTTTGTTTGGATTAACCCATGCATAACATAACAAAATCCAAATAACCGTTCAATCACTCTCTCTCTCGCTCCACATTTCTATCATGTCTACCAAATAATATCAAAATTACGTAAATAGAATTCAATGTACATGCTCATCTCACACCCTCGACTCCCCTTTTATATTCTTGATTTTGTTGGGCTTACTTTAACTTTTCTTTTGCTGCCGTCAAGAATATATGTTCACGTTAAGTCCATTAATATCGTCATGCTTAATATATATGAGATGTATGCGAGTAGTCGGTTGGTTGTTTGGTGTTGTACATATATTTTTTTTTCTTTCCGTTCTCTCTCTCTGGCCCATTCTTGGTCGTTTTTGTTTTGGCAAAAAACCAAAAGCACTCCGACGTTAGCATACAATGGATGTGGCGCTATCGTTCATCTGCCTGCCAATCCACGTCAATCTATAATGTAGTCTGTGGCAATGTCTGCATGCTTAGACATGAAAATCGATGAAAAATAGTGAATGTTATGTGTAGGAGACGAGGTGGGAATGAGATGGGGCGAAACTGCGAACAAACTCCCATTATGGTTGTATGTGTATGTGTGTTGAGTGAGTTGCTTTCATTTGGTATTCATCGGTCTAAAAATGGCTTTGTTCGCGACAAATCGCACTGCATGTGCCAATCAATTCCAATTTGCATTTGGTGAAAGTGCACATTTTCACTTCAATCTCTTCTGATCACTCTGTCGTGACACAACCAATGCGCTGATGTGCCGTTGCTCCAAATATATGTAATATGTATTGCTTTCGAGACTCTTAACCACAAATCCAATGAACCAATTCGTCGCGGTTTGAAATTCGCAACTCGGGCACAACCAAATCGATCCGGTTAAACTCAAGCAATTTTCATCAAATCAATTTCTCTCAACCCCGTCCATTTATATTTTTTTCGTTTGAGTTGATAAACAACGTTTTTTTTGGAGGAACATCGTTGAGAAAGGTGCACCATTTTTAACTGTCATAATTTTGAGGTGGAAATCGAGTAATTTTATTGCTTTCAAAACTCAATTTTTTTTCTTTTCACTTTGGTCCGTGGTTTTTTTTATCGATCTTCGAGAGAGAGAGAAAAGAAATGTGGCCGTATTCATTCCATAATTTTCGGTGTTCCGCTAAATTTATTTTCATTTCCGTTAAGCATGCAGCTGCTTGGTTTGTTATTGCATCTTGTTAAGCGTGCATCATATCTTAACTCTCATCGCTTTCAAACTGGCATTTTTCAATTCATACGAATAATGTGCAGCGATGCAATAGAACAGGAGCAAAAATGTTTTTCGAGTGTATTTTTCATCATTTTTTTTTGCCGTCAAGAACGAAAGCAGTGAACGAAGCAGAGAAAAAAACAAAGTATTTCCATAAATGT